CTAACCCTGAGAATTTTCTGCTCTGAAGAGCAGTTGGGCTAAATTGATGTTAAGCTAATAAATTTTCATATAATAGTAACCGTTCCTGTTTTTTTCCCATCAGAATGATTCTACTAGAAAAAGATAAAATATGTCTTGGATATGCTAACCCTATGAATTTTCTGATCTGAAGAGCAGTTGGGCTAAATTGATGTTAAACTAATAAATTTTCATATAATAGTAACCGCTTTCCTGTTTTTCCCATCAGAATGATTCTACTAGAAAAAGATAAAATATGTCTTGGATATACATAAATCTGTTTTAATTAAAGCCCTACTCTCTCTGTCTTCTGTGTATCTGTTTCTAGTCATTTTACTTTTCTCCGTCCTTCTATCTGGTTTACATCTTTAAAATGTGATACGGAAAACTGCCACAAGCACACTTGGAGAACCTGAGAAAAGTGCAGTTTCGCACATTCAGATGAGAGCCAGTGGCTGTGCTCAATCTCACCATTTCATCACAGACAGGATATTACGGTGCAAGAACATTCAGGTTTGTAAATGATAGATTTTAAAAGGCAAAACAAATGTCAGTAATCAGCTGTGCTTTGCAGCATCAGTGCCATAAATAGGTGCACTCTCTTGGTTACTTGGGTGGCTGATTTTTAAATTTATGATAAAGTATATAAAATTAATGATGTGTGCTTACACTTAAGTGATAAAAGCTAGTTTCTGCCGGTGTGCTAATGTACATAATTGGTTCTTTACAACTAGAAACCAGATACTTTCATTCATGTGTTCGCACTCTGGCAGTTTAATTTATGGAACTCTTTTTTGTTTGGGGTTTTTTTTGGGGGGGGCTTAGGGGGAAGGAGAAAAAAAACATTTCTTACATTGTTACTGGACTTGGGATATACAAGTATGATGATGTAAAATCTGTGTCTGGGTGGCTGTTTGTCCTTTCTTGCAGAGTATTCTGTGCTCACTGAGGGGGAGGGTCATACTGTGTGAGACTAATAAGGACAGAGCTGCATCCCCCTCTACCACTCTTTGGAGACTCACTCCAGCAGCTCCTCAGCACCACAGCAGCTCTGTCCAGGCATTTTCAGTGCTTCTGGGGGACATACTAAAATAAAAATTAAAGGTAAGCAACCCATAGTTTGTAGTCAGTTGTCTAAACATCTCAGATGCACACAGACTATTCCTGGCTTGTTTTGTGGTGGGTTTGTTTTGGTTTGGTTTTTTTTTTCAAAATTGCCATTTAAGTTTATCACTGATTTTGCCGATATTAACTATGTCCTATATAAACGTAATGTACCCAGTAAGCTTTTAATGCACTGTAATCAGTCTATGCTATAGGATTCTGCTCGTGACTGTGTAAATACATTATATATGTTTGTGGGTGGCTATAGGTATATGCTAAGATATGCTAATGAAAACATTAGTGAATTATTAAATTTGCAGTAATTTACAAAACCGATTAAACTGTTGCAAATCGCCACAATGCTGAGCATGCTTATTAATTGTATGCCTATATCTAAATTTAAAAATCCATCTATTAGCGTGTATCATCCTAATTAGCATGCGTATCGAGTGGCCCACATCCAGCTCGTTGAAACATACTTGTGAGCAGCGGCACGGGTGGGGAGCGCGGTAAACGCTCTCCGGGACGGGAGGAACCCGCGCGGTTCGGCGGCTCTCGGGCAAACCCC